TATTGTGCTTTCTGAGTGCAATATTCTTGAAATAGGTTCTGTCCAAACTTGCACTTTCTTAAACTGCAGCTCTGTAATGGTACTGAACACACTCCAGAAGTGATGTTGACCACCCCAAAAAAGTGCCGCCGTTGACATGCCTGGCTGAACCCAGCGCAGCATCTGTATGTGTATCTATGAGCAACATCTCGAGCCATAAATGTGAGTTGTGTTCAAATTCGGCAAGCAGTAGCGAACATTTGTGGCAGACTTGTTCTCCGTGAACAGTTTAATTTGAGCGATTTTGTGTAAACACTCCACTTCAACGGTAACCCTTCATCCAGCTGTCCTCTAAGTTCACAGAGAGCTGCCACCTGAAACTGTTTGCAAATGGTGGCAAACATTAACAGAGAACTCAAGGCAAACAGAAAACTGTTTCCAACTGTTTTGAATTGTTTTCCTGTGTTCTGCCAATTTGAACACATTGGTGGCCTCGACGTTAGGACAACAATGCAGTGTATAAAACTTAACGTTATTTGGAATGTGAACTGGGTCGTTGTGAATAATAGTTATTTGTTTCCCTGTTCCGACTCCATTAATGATTCAAGAGACCATGCATTTCGAAATAGGAAGTTACAGCTCAGCTCATAACATGAAGTAAGACAGTTTTTAACATTAGCTAACTAGCTCAATAGCACAACTATCCTACTGAGATGAATCTTCTTTATCCAGTGAACCAGCGTGCTCCCATGCCAGCTAAGGTCGGCTTTACAAATAGCACAACTGACAACCTTTTTCTGAGTTTAGCGCTTCCTTATAAGTCCATCTTTGCTGGGGAAAAAGCTTTCATTATGAGGCCCATAGGCAAATTATATTACTTATATATAATTTTATATAATTATGTTGTGTATTTTGTATTTGGGGCGGCACGGTGGCACAGTGGGTAGCGCTGTCGCCTCACAGCAAGAATGGCCTGGGTTCAATTCCCGGCCGGGCGACCAGGGTCATTTCTGTGTGGAGTTTGCATGTTCTCCCCGTGTCTGCGTGGGTTTCCTCCGGGTACTCCGGTTTCCTCCCACAGTCCAAAAACATGCAGTCAGGCTGATTGGACACGCTAAAATTGCCCCTAGGTGTGAGTGTGTGTGTGAATGTGTGTGTATGTCTGTTTGTCTGCCCTGCGATGGACTGGCGACCTGTCCAGGGTGTATCCTGCCTTCCGCCCAATGACAGCTGGGATAGGCTCCAGCACCCCACCGCGACCCAGAAGGATAAGCGGTTTAGATGATGGATGGATGGATGGATTTTGTATTTGGTGTAAAATAAAACATAGAGTAAAAAAGACCAGTAGAAAACCACACAAACGTGAATTGCTGGGCTCTGTGCAACTTTCATGACGTTAAAAGGAATCAGCTGTCCTGTTTTTCCAATTTCTGCCTGTTCTCCCCCATTCCTCCTGCTCCTCTCCTCTCGACCATCTGTGGAGATTTCACCTCTGTCACCTCTGACCTGTCTCGGATGCATGCATTACAATGTTCATGTTCAAAGGTGACTGAGGTGAAATCTCGACAGATGGTGGTACTGCACCTGGGAGGGTTGGGCTTCAAACTGGTCTGGGTTTCTCAAAAGCATTTTAGCACAAAGATGATTCTTAAATGGCAGTGCAAGCATCACTCTGAACGCTGTCTACCAGTGAAGATGATCTTAATACTAAGATGCATTTGGACCCTGACTTACTGACTCAGGGTGAGGCTGAGCTGTGCCTTGCCTTGTGAAATAGACCTTGTACAATGCCATACAAAACATAATTATTATACACTGACCACAAAGGGCACTTCCTGAAGGCAAACGGGCAGGGGCTCAGGCCCCTTCTGGGGGCTATCGCTGTGGCTGCACAAAGCCAAAAAAGCTGCTACTGTAGGACTGTTTATCAGAAAATAAACAAGTGAACGCATGCTCCTTATTGTCATGAAGGAGTATGAAAATGGTGGATCGAGGTTGCTCAAAAACTAATTTGTCCTGTCCCTGTGTCAAGCCAGAATGCCCACTGGATGTGCTTTTAGATGAGTGAAGGCTGCTGCTCAAGAGTGGTTGATTGGGTGGCTGTAGACCATTTAGCAAGAAATGCCTTTTCTCTCTAGCAAATTCCTTTGGGCTAACACATTATGCAGAGAAACAGGTCACCTGTATGGTAAGTGGACCTGATAAAATGGACAATTAATGTACCTTTTGATCCACCTCAATCTGGCATTTCCTCTCACCTATGTTAACATGCACCCGTTGCTGAAACAGGCATTCAATTGCACACAAACAGCTTTTATAATCTCCATGAGAAAACATCGCCAACAGAATGGGAAGTTCTAGAGCAGCTGCACATGTGCTAAGGTCACTGTGCCCAATGTCTAATGTTGGTATAAAGCCTCCCAGCATTGAGCAGTAGAACTGTATTCCCTGGAGTGATGGAGTTCCATCTTTGGAATGAGTGCTGTTTACGATCCATAACTAATCATCCAATATCAGTACCTGACATCACTAATTCCCTTGTTGCTGAATGCAATCAGATCCTCACAGCAATGTTCCAATATCTAGTGTAAAATTATTACAAATGATTAGAGGCTGTCCCTAACCCCTGGAGAGGTAGATGTAAAAGAACAGTGCAGTACATTATGATGTCTTTGTAGCATGTAATGAAAGAGTAAAGCTAAATTATACATAATCAAACCTGATATTACAGGCAACACTGACACTGCTCTGTCCACCATGTTGTGTCCTGAAGCATGCTCAACAGCATATGCAAAACAGCAAAGAGTATGTGCAAGTGAAAGCCATGATGTCAATGTTTTTTTAAAAATTCCACACAAAAACACATTTCAATCAAGGCAGGTTCATCACCATTGTAGTTGTTTAAAACCTCTTAGTCAGTGCCCTAATAGGGAAGGCATTGAATAATAAAGGTTGGTAACATATTTCATGCTTAATACTGCATGAAATAGCCTAATGGATGACCACTTAAGAATTTCTTATGATGATTTATTAAAATAAAATATGAATAGGAATGTAGTTCAATTACAGTCTACACTGCAACGTCATACATCTAAGTTAAAAAATAATGTGTTAAAAAGGAGATTCAAAAAGTACTGAAGTATTTGTTAATTGGATTTTAATTCAGCTGTTTGTAGAAAATATATTCATACCACTTTTGATTAAATCCTCTCATTCACTTAAGATTTAGAATGATGAAACTCCCAGAGTATCAGTTTTCTTTTAGCTGAAATTTCGTCTACTGAGAGAACCGTCAGTACATCATTTGATGTAAATACCCTGCCTTTGAACACCAGACCTTTCTACGACGGCATTTTAGGGCCACTGTTAATGAAAATAAAAATAGTAGACTTCGAGCAATTGTCATATTTCGAGAATAAAGTCGTAGAATTACGACATTGAAGTGGCAGTAATACCAGGAAAGGTTGCGTTGTGGCCAAAGGCTTTGAGGCAGCGCCTTCTTGTGTTAAAATAAGGGGCGTTTAGGAGTTGATGGAATTATACTTTCATATCGATTTCACCCATAAAGAAATACTCAGTCTCCCTGTCTCTCCTGGCACATCAGCACCAGACTGTTATTAGTAAAAGAAACGACTGAAACGGCTGTGCAGGAAACTGTTTATTTAGAATGAAGAGCCAGAGGGACTCGGAGGAAACTTTTGTTGAAGGAGAATCACAGGCAGTGGTCGTCTACACAGCTATCAATGGCCACATCTCTGTACCATTCGAAGTGTAGTTTCACAGACAATGAGAATGATAATCAAAATGATTGATCCACAAGGAGACAGTTGTAAGTGGAAATCGTCGCCGTACAGCAACCGAGACCCCAACGTGTTATGGCAGCCACCCTACAGTTAGCCCACTTTATCCTCTAAATATTGCGACTTTATTCTCGAAGTCTACTATTTTTATTTTTATTAACAGTGGCCCAAGTCATTTTGCTAACCAATTTGAGGCATGCAGTATATCTTTTGGCAGTATATGTGTTTGCTAGTAGGGAAGAGCAGGGCACAACCTAATTTGGGGTAAAATGTAGAAGATTATTTTAATATAGTTAACCAAGTTAAAGCAGAATGTGCTTTTGGTTATCTTATTGTATTCCTATAGCATAGTTGAATGCTGACAGCAATCAGATTTTTCTGAAGATTCACTGCAGAGCCTGAAGTTTTTGTATAATGAAAGTAACCATTTTCACCGTTTTAGATTACTGAAGTGTGTAAGTTACAGAATACATGTTATTAGATTTACTCTCTTGGTGGCTAATATAGCACTGTTTTGAAGAAAACTCACAGCGAGAGCTAGCCAGGCCAAAGTACAGCCTCTGCACAGTGTTAATTAATTCAATTAGGTGAACAGTGAGAAGAGTTTGGCACAGCCTCTTCTCTAATCGTTTATTTTGATACATACATATTTTATGTATCTAAGTTAGAAAACTTTTCTGTTTAAACAACATGGATTGTATAGTTTTGCCTTTAACCATCCTCATCTGTTACAGGTAACCTCAGCTTAGTTGGAACAATTACAATGGTAAGTGCTGGAGATTCTTCATAGAGCTCTTTAAAGATTTCCATGTAGTTTCTCCCTATTAGCTGTATTCCCACTAACAGCGAGTGCTGTGTACACAACAAAGCCCAAACTCATTTAGATGTGTACAGTTTTTGGTGTGTTTGAAAGTTGCACTTTGCAGCTGCTGTGTACATGCTTAAAAATGAATGTCTGGCTTGGGCCTATGGTTCTCAGAAAAACCTTTCACTGGTATAGGACATTATGTGGAGGTTCTTCACACTCTCACATCATTTACATTAATGGTTCTTTAAACAATCTTCCAGTTGATTCAGTGAACCAACAGTGGTTCTTAAGGGCACTGCTCCAAAGAACCCATCTGGTTTCATTTGGCACCTTTGTTTTTAAACAATATAAGCAATATTGTCAACAAAGTGAAAATAAGTGAACAAAGTCTGTGGACATGAGAAATAGCAATAATGATGCAAGTCAAAGGCTTTAATTCTTCCTTGGCATTTGTACCATCACCAGATCTAATCAGTGTTGTCCTCATGCACGGTTCCATCTCCTGAGATGCTAATGGCTAATAACTGGAGGGCTGAAGGTTCATTTCCAGGTAGGGAACTGGATGGCTGCAGTTGTTAAGTTGAAAAATATACAATAGGTCAAAACTAAACAAATGACATCTAAAAACAGCAACTATTACAGTAATATTGAAAACATCTGGGAACATTTTATTGCTGGACATAGTTTAAAGTTAAAAGAGCAAAAATAACTGATAAATAAAAAAAGAACAGAAACGACAATCAAAACGAAATATACACACAAAATTGCTTCTGTGACATGGTGAAAAAAATAAACAAATAGGAAATAACACAGTAGAACATGACAGAAATTAAATTACAATGGAACACAGATAAAGTAAAACAACGTACTTCAGAAATATAGCGGCACTATGCATTCAATTCCATCATCTGTTTTTATTGTGTGTGCTCTCTTCATCTTATTATTATTAATAATAAAACAAATAATGGAACACAAACAGTAATAAGGAGGCCGATACAACTGAGAATAGTGAGGTCTCTCTCTCCATATATAACCTAGCATCTGTAATTTCTTGATAAAAAAATCATTTTGCATTATCTGCATTATTCTCAACTCTTTGTGAATGGTATTTTTTTTATTTATAATGGATTACACCAAATAATCCAAGTCAGTTTAACAAAATAAACTGAATTTACAGATAAAGTAATATATGCAAAATTCAAATGTTCGGTATCAGCCTACAAGGTACTACAGTATTTATGTAGTAAAATATGTAAACAGTGTTACTTATGACACATTTGATGGTGATAACATTGAAACTCCACATTCGGTTTAGCTTGTGTAATAATGATAAATTCCTCATACTTTACCTTTCCTTCAGATACTGGATATGGTGAAAAGGGCCTGGGTACATAGTTGCTACAAATCCTGTGACAAAATGTACTTGATGTTATTCTGACATTTAATTTTTTTGCTCGTTTTTCGCTATGGCATGTCCGTGTATGCAACCACAAAAGGGACTGGATAAGAGAGAACTGTTTGGTGTAATTATTCGTAGAATTCACATGCCTTATGACTCAAAATGGTCCTGTGTTTTTGCATGACTTTTAGTACAAAAAACTCTGAAAGGACTTCAGTGGCACAGAAATGCCAGGTCTTATACTTTAGATACAACCAGTCAAGAGGAAACCTGAAAAGGACATTTTTATTTTCTCTCTCAAAAAAATATGCTTTTAAGAAGGTGAATGAGGCCCATTTGTTAAGTGACTCTGGCACAGGTCACACTGAAATTTGAATCATATTTGAATGTCCTCAGTAATTAGACATGAACAAATGGAAAAGAAAAAAAAAAAAGAAAATGCAAAAATGAAATACAAAATTATTCAAATGTGTCATTTCCACCACCCACTCCTTAAAAATACTTCAGGATTAGATTTGCAACAAAAACAAATGAGCTGCTTTTATGGCAAATTGTGCTCACAGTTTACCTTCGGGCCACAACAAATCTTTCTCTAGCTCTGCTCTTGCAAAGACGCCAACACTAAATCACACACATTTGACATGCATGCCCAACATGGTTGATGATCATTATTGTATTGTACAGGGCTACAGTGGACACTTTTTTATGCCAAGGATCATGTACTTTAAAAAGTCATTCTGGGGATAACAATGTAACAGTGACATATTTTACACTGGTTATGTCCCATAACCAGACAGATATAAACAAGATCCTCCATGTCACCATCAACATTCTCCATTCCCTTACCACAGAAAGTCTGCTTCAAACCACAATGCCTACAATTTATTTCAGACTCAATGTTTGAGTTCTTAGAGAATTTCCTTTTTAAGTATAGTACTGCAAAAATTCTCCAGTTTTGGGTCTGTTGTTCAGATTTTGTTTTATACATAGTATTCCTTGTCCTTGTCTCTTGGTCTCTTGCTACTGGTACCCTTGGTACTTTGCTGCTTGTCCTTAATTACTGCGCCATTAGTCTGTGCTGAGTTGCTGATGTAATTTCGTGTCTCATCCACTTGGTAGGAACCTTCGTCTCTGTTCCTGTACTTATACATAGCATAGAGTAGGATGAGGATGCAAAGGGCAGCAGCTGACACAATGCCCACCACCATACCCATAGTGCTGCTGGATTCGCGTATAACTTCCGAGGCACCAGGTGGAACCCTCCTGATTCCTGGTACGGTGGGCAGAGCGCTGGGCACGTTGCGCAGCATTGGCTGGGTGATGAGCGGGCCTCTGGGTTTGGTGCCATCATTGTCGTAAGATGTGGGCAGAGGGAGCAGCACTACATTTGGTTGGGGTTTGACCTCACGGTTGTTTATTTTACCAGCAGGAATTTTAGGAGGTGCCTCAGATGTAACAAATGCTGCTACGGAGCTTCTAGGGTCAGGCAGATGTGGTATGAGTGTAGTCCTGCCTGCCTCAGAAGGCTTACTAGGCTTAAAGTCCTTCGTCTCCCACTTGGGTGCGAGAGCTTTGTAGCCACCTTCATAGGCCGATGTGGTCAAGATCTTATCTGTTACCAGGGAGAAGGTGGTGTAAAAATCTTCATCATCAGTAGGGGGGAGGCTAGAGTCGTATGTCTCCCCAGATCCAAACCCAGATATCACCAAGCCATCACCATCATCATCACCATCATCATCACAATCATCGTTGCCTCGGTCCGACAAGCAAGGTACGCCCACCTCAGTGGCAATGGACAGGGACTCTTTGGTGGTCTCAATAATGGTGAGAACAGGGTGTAGGGTTGGGGGAAGAGGAATGAAAGGGGATCGAGTGGAAACAGGAGGGATATCTATGGGGTCCTCAACTAGAACGGGAATCACTAATTCCCCTCCTAGAAAACAATACAAAAAGACAGCAAATTAGTGGTAAATTACCTCCTTAAAAATGCTACTGAAAACAAACAGAGCAAAGCAACCACAAAACAAATTCCGAAAAAAATATGAAACAAAAGGAAAAAAAAAGTTTTTACATCAATGCCCAAAGCAAATTAAGACCAAAACAAAAGAAAGAGATGGGGAGACATGATTAATTGCATCAAAAGGCTGTAACAGAGGTGGCTAGGTTTTGAGCTAAACTGTAATTTTATACAGGACATAGGAATTTGTATTCAGGCTTCACTATATATTTTCAATGTAAATTACCTAGGGTTTGTCCATAGAAGATTAGCAGTACCAGAAGAGGGGAAACTCTTTAAAAGACTAAAATCATTCAGCAAAAAATACAGTGGGTTTGAACCTCAGCTAGGATTAATTAAGATATTTCACAACTCTATATGGCAGGGGTGCACAACTCTGGTCCTGGAGGGCCGGTGTCCAGCACAGTCTGGTGATTTACCTGGTCCAACACAGCTGATTAAACTTATCTTTTAATTGCCAGGTTAAGTGGGTGTGTTTGAGCAGGGAAACCTCCAAACTGTGCTAGACATCGGCCCTCCAAGACCGGAGTTGTGCACCTTTGCTATATGCTAACTCATCAGCTTTAACAATGGTTTCCCCAAAAACAGACCCAGTATTTTACTACATGAGGCTTACATACACTGATCTCACAGAAGGAAAACAACTACGTACACTTTAAAATAAGCTTTGATAGAAAAATCAAAGCCATTTGCCTTTTGACAGTGCTCAAATAGTCACCACAATGGCACAAAGTCACATAACAGTTCAACAACACCTTGATGTTTTGACTTGTTCATTTAACTTGAAATTAGTAGTTGAAAGTCATTCCTTATCCATATATTATGTCTAGGATTTTCAACACAGAATCTACACTTTCAATTGTCTTAATCTGGATTGCAAAAATCTTCACACTTTTTTTTTTTGCAAATGTGTAAATAAGCCAAACTAATAAATGGACCAATTCCTGGTTGTCATAATAAAAGCAAAATTTCTTCTTTGCTATGTTCAACAATATGCTTGACTGATAAAAGAGTTTACGTCATGAGTTTGTAAGTATGTGAAGGAGTAAAACATCCAGATGTTGGTTGAAGCTGCTCAAACCTTCACCAGTAGGGCTTGCTGAAAACACTGCAGACTTACAAACATAGGGCACTATTAGGCAATGCAAGTCTTTACCAGCGAACCAAAAGGAAAGAGGAAATCAAGGCAGTGCAAACACTTTTGAACTGTTAGAGCAGACACTAGAAACATTCGCAAACCAAAGGCACAGGTAACTTGATTAAAAGGGATTAGTAATTAACAAAAACAAACAAACAAACCAGAAAAAAACAAGCCTTTTTTAAAGGAAGCAAACCATTGTTTTTGTAACTTACATCAATTAATTGCCCGCATGATTTTGGCAGGAAGAAAAAAAAATTACAAAAGAAAGTTCTGTAAGAATGCTCTTGGATAGACATGGTTAGTCTATGGATTTAACGTAATTTTCTTAAAAAATAAAGATGATGATACAGGAGGCAACAACATACATACCCACATACCATGACATGAAAAATAAACTTCACCATCCTGTACATTTTTTCTTTTGACAAATACATATTTTTTTTACAAAAAAAAAACTGTACATTTAGGATCACTTAGATAAATTAATTTGTCTTTTAGTATATACAATTGTGTTTTTTTTTTTCCTTTTTTGGAAATTGTGCTTAATTTAAATTTGCTAATTTGTACATTATTTCTGAATAAATGGATGACTGTACATATTCTATCAATGCTAAATGAGGAAAAAGGGAGAAAGACGGGGACCTATTGACATACTAGGTAGATGATATAGATGGAAATGAATGTGTGCGTCAGTTGCCATGTCCATGTAAAGGCGGTACGAAGTGGTCGGGCGGCATTAGAGCTTTTGGCTGTAAGGAAGGGATGGGGATATACAAACAATGAGCATATACATGCCCATCTACAAGAAAAAAAATAGCACTATCAAAACTGATACTCTTACAGACCCTAAGCTGCAACTTGTTTTCTATCCAGTTCAGATAAGGAAATGAATGGGTCAGTCAGAGAAAATCAAGTGTAAAATCTAGTATATTTACTGTTATTAAGGTAATGCCTTGATTAAGGAACTGCATTAATTGTCTTTTTTCTCAATGAAATTATAAGCAATCAAAAACTTTGAGTGAAAATATAATCATGATAACAACTTTTGTACTACCTGATTAATATGTATATACAATGTGACCCCCAAATTTGTTGGCACCCTTAGATAAAAAAAAAGAAGTTGAAGAGGAGAAAAAAAAGGAGAAAAAAAACAGAATTTAAAAACAAATCTTGAAAATATACTTTCAAGATCAAGTCACATTTTCATAGCATTTTTTTAATCATTTTTGCCAAGGGTTGCAACAATTCTGGAGGGCATTGTTTATACAACTGTTTATAAAACACTATAGGTTACTTAATACTTTTAATTTTTTGTAGTACTAAACTGTAAAACAATATACTATAAAACTATATTTTGGAAACTGACAAAGCTGACAAATTTAAGTTGATATTGCTAAAACAATTTCCTTTTGAGTAAGTTGCATTTAGGGAAAGCAGAGTAACAGCACTGCAAGCTGGGATCAGGAGACTGAATTACAGGTCTTAGAAAAACACTGAGCCAAGGGCTGTGGGATATTTTAAGATATAAACATCTACCTGTAAAAACAAAAATGCATACACTCAATTCTATATCTTGATAATTTGGTGCATATTATTTGTTTTCATACAATCATACATTTTTCACTGGTGGTGTGTAAATATTAATACATTCACTTTAAACAACTGCATAACCGACAGCCATTCGCTAGACATTTATCAACAGTAAAAACAACATGAGAAATTCCACAAGATGGCAAATTAATTTAATGATTTTAGTATTCACAAAACCCCATAAGGCTGTAGAGCAGAAGTTTTAAGATATAATTATTATGACCTTAGACTTGAAAAAAGGAAAAATATTTGAGACTTAGACTTCTCCATTAATGACGCAATACTGGAACTGACTTGTGGGGGTATGTGACTTGATAGCACTTATAGGCTGCTATTATCACTATAGATATAAGCCCCGTGTTTTGAAAAGAACAACTGCTATAGGTTACCTTTTATTTCTATGAGCCAAACTCTTTGTCTTTACAGGAAAGTCTGTTCACTCTGCACCAAACTTAGCAACAGTTTCCAGCCATACAAGACTAGGATCCATTTTGTTTTGAATGGTGAACGACCTACGAATCTGAAACTGCAAGCCACACTAACATTTCAAAAACATATTTAAAATCAGTCGTTAAATCTCACAAAAACATCAAACAATTTGTACCATTTTTCTCATTCAAGTAACACTCAAAAAACACGTAAAGCTGAGGGTTACATGTTATCCCATTCATATTGCACAGAATATACTGTGTCCTCCTACGTTTATAAAGTCTCAGTTTTTATGTTGCTGGGGATGGGGGCACACAATGAATTTGTAAGACTTCCAAAATGATGTTAGCATCAAGCTAGCAGCGGTGTATATTCATATTTTTTAGCATGCTCCAATAGTTATTTCTGATGTCCATTACAATGAATGTTGGTTCTGAAGAGAAGCAACATTCTAATATGTAATAGTTTTAAAAAGTTATTGCAAGAAAACATGGCCACAATCTAAATTTGAGGATTGAAGTGTTTTTAAAATGCACACCTACGGCATTCTTTGCGTTACTAACAACGATTCTCGCTAAAAGACCTCTTACAGTAGACTATGACTTCACTTAGTAATTCTGAACTGATTAAAACTAGATTTTCTCCTTACACATTTTATGTTCAAAATTCAAGACTTTGGACTTGGCTTGGGCCAAGCACATTATGTTTTTTTGAAGGCTGTTTCTTACTGTGCTTCTCCATGTTGCCACATTGTGGAAGCTGGAAGTAATGGCTCCTCCCTGAATCTGATGCTTATGCACAGTGACACCCAACTGTGTACTGAGAAAGAAAGACACGGCTGTGGCTATTGTTTTTAGCTAGGCAACACAGAATGCAGAGGTGTGGACTCGAGTCACATCGAGTCAGATTTAAGTCACAAATTTAATGACTTCAGACTAGATTCAACAAAATAAAAAAAAGACCTGCAACTTGACTCCGATTAAAACATCAAAGACTCAGACACTGAATTAGACTTAAACCTATTGGAAGAAATGTGGAGACGCATCTGGCTGTAGACGAGACTATCTACAATCAGTTACCTTTTTTTGGTTAGTTTTCAGTTGTAGTCGTTTGATACTGACCCCTACCGGCTACTTCAATAGCTATAACCATATTTAAGCCCAGCGTGAGTTTTTTTATTTTGCCTTCATAAGCTGGAAATAAGTGAAATTCAATCAAGGTATCAGTATGCCTTCATTCAGCCCTCAAACTCTAGTCTTAACTAAGACTTCCCCATAGCTTCTGCATTTAAAACAAGTGAAAAACTCACCTTCATTTGACTTTTCTGTAAATTTCATTCCGTGCAGTCTTTCAAATTCAGTAAATTTAATTTACTAACATATACTACTTATGGATTATCATTATGGTAGTAATAACATTACCATTTTTGGTGTTT